GAGTAGTTTTATTTTGAGTAACTTTTACTTCACTACATTCCAAAACATAAGATTGTACTTTTTACTTCACTACATTTCATAAAACTTATCGTTACTCCTTATAATATATCACGTGCTCTGAGACGCAGAAGCGGTGTCTGATTCATGAACAAACTGTTTCTTTTCAATGAACCCGTTAAATCGGTTCGCAAATCGCACCAAACGATTCATTCACGAATTGGAATGATCCGATTGCAGCTGTTCTCGAGTCGACAACTCACTGATTCAAATTAACCATTTAGTGCGAGTCTTCAGTGAATTCACAAGTAAGAACCGGGAGATCCTGTGAGCGTGTTTGATGCTGTTAAACAAAATAAACATTCATCTATCTGTACTTTTTATTAAGTACATAAAAAATCAAGTACTTTTGTACTTTCACTCGAGTAAAATTGAAAACTGAGTACTTTTACTTTTACTGGAGTAATATTTTATTATACGGATCTGTACTTTTACTCAAGTACTTGATTTGTTTACTTCATCCACCACCGTGATCCGGTAAATGCTTCTTTCAGGTGCAATATTCTTTGTAGCAATTTCCATGCATGTGAGGCCATTTTGATGCAAAGTGACAATGGCTGCACGTGTTTCTTTGGAGGTAACCATTGCTAACAAGAACACAATGATTGGAAGCACTTCTTCCCACCTTTTATAGCAATAAGTCTATAATTAGTTAACTAATAATTTAATTAGTATGATAGTGATTTCACCTGACTAGTACTCATTCACACTTTCACATGTGCTGCTGATATGATTAGTCAATTAATGTTAGCTGGTCATTTTGTGTCAGGATAAAAAAAAAACTGTGATATTTGCTTTTTTGTGAAAAGTTAATTTTTTGGACCAATTAAGCTTTTAGAAGTTATTTAAAATGCATCTGATCACTCTACACCAGGGGTGCCCAAATTCGGTCCTGGAGGGCCGGTGTCCTGCAGAGTTTAGCTTCAACTTGCCTCAACACACCTGCTGATAAGTTTCTAGTATGCCTATAAGAGCTTGATTAGCTGGTTCAGGTGTGTTTAATTGGGGTTGGAGCTAAACTTTGCAGGACTCCGGCCCTCCAGGACAGAGTTTGGGCAGCCCTGCTCTACACAATAATCTAGAAACGATGTGAATGAACACCACAACAGTTTAAGCAGCAAACTTTGCAAAACACAACATTTATGTCACTGCCAAAACTTTTGGCCATGACTGTACAAAACATATTCACATAAAAAAAATACCGGCAGACAATCAATGTGTTGCTGCATAAATTTATAAAAAATGAAAATAAAAGCTGGGAGCTAAAAGAGGCCTGAGAGACTGTATCTTTCTTTAGCCCTCTCACATTCAAACAATAGTGCTTTCCCAAGTGTCCCAAAAGCTCATCAGAAACACGTTATCGCTTACATCGCTTCATAGTCTCCATAGCGGATGCTTCCCCACACATCATCCTAGACTCCTGCAGTATATAAATAAATCAACCAATGAATTAGAAAACTCTCCAACTGTGTGCTGACAGTGCTGTGGGACAGCTAATGCCGAGTTCACACTGCACGATTTTCAAAGTCGTCGGGTCACTGTCGTTTTGACACTGCACGACTATCTGAGGTAGCAGTCAGTCGCTGCTGTGTTCACATCGCACAATGGATCGGCGACAGGAGGTTACACACTGCATGACTTTACGATAAGAAGAATCGCCAACAACTCTGTATGGTCCGCAAACTACGTTTCACAACAAAACACACGCGAGAAGTGATAAGGAAATAACGTGCGTCAGACCGGAGTTCTCGAGCAAGACTGGAATTATTAAAATATATATATAGCCCGCAAATTGTGTGTGAGCTGATTTCCAGCTACAAGGAGAAAAAGAAAAACAGATTATACAGGAGGGAGATGCAGGGAACAGGGATTGGGTGTTCTGCCAAGAGAGTTGGAGGTAAATAATTTTGCAGTAACTGTTATGCTGATGTTGTGGCTGGTCAAGCAAATGTTTGTGCTTGTTTCTGTGTGATATAATTGTTCATATATCTATTAAAATACTGATATTCTGGTCTATAACTCCTCCCCGAACTTCCCGCTGCCCTGTATCTTGGTCTCTCATTGGCTGTACACTCTTAAAAATAAAAGGTGCTTCATTTTTAGTTCCACAAAGAACCATTTAGTCAAAGGTTCTTTAAAGAACCATCTCTTTCTTACCTTTTTGTAATCTGAAGAACCTTCTTTCGCCCACAAAGAACCTTTTGTGAAACAGAAAGGGGCTTCAGATGTTAAAGGTTCTTTATGGAACCATTTAGACAAAAAGGTTCTTCTATGGCATCGTGAAGCACCTTTATTTTTAAGAGTGTAGGTCATCGCCGATGTAGTTTTCAGTCAGAAATCATTTCACACAGCTTGATTGTGAATCGCCAACAGCTCCAGATATTTAGAATGCCAAATATTTTGCGGGCGTCGGCGATTCCCTCAGATCACGTCTTTGATAATTCACACTGCGTGATTGTCAATCGCGTGAACGAGCACCGATTTGCCTCCGATTTCGGGCATTTGTCGGCGATTTCGCAAAACCTGTCGGCGAGTGAAAAATCGGGCTAAAATCGTGCAGTGTGAACTCGGCATAAGCATCTGTTTCAATTCTCACCTCAGCACTGTCAAGAAGCTCTTCAGGGGCCGTGAGGAAGTCGAGACTTTTGTGGTGTTGTAGGAGGTCTTGACTTAATGCTTATTTTCTTTGGGCGTGTTGTAGAAAAATGAGAGTGATGGTGGACTAAAACACCTGTTCTCAACGGTTTTAATTGCTCAGAAGCTGCTTTTTGAAGCTTACATGATCTCACATAAGTTCTAGTCAACTTTTCTCAGATGTTTCTCCTAAAGTTTTTAGGATATCTTTGACATACAATACAAGTAAAGCGCTACAATATTACAGTTTTTTTCTTTTTTTCAATCGCCAGGACTCATTTTAGGTAGCTTTTTCAAAACTCTTCACACAACAGCAGTCTATATAGAATAAACTGTGGATCATTTGTCATTGCTTTGGCACAAAATGCATTCAGTGACTACATCTTTCAAATTACATTAACTCTTTTTCTCTCAAACACAACTACCACCAAAATTGTATGTACCTACAAACCAATTCTCAAAAAATGTTCAAATTAAAAGGATAGTTCACCTAAAAATGAAAACTCTGTCAATCATTTACTCACCCTCAAAGTGTTCCAAACCTGTGATGAACATAAAATAAGATTTTTTTTTTTTTTTGAAGACAGTTAGTAACCAAACCCATTGACTTCCATAGTCCTTTTTTTTCTGTACTGTGGAAGTCAGTGGGGACCAGCGACTCTTTGTATTAAGATCAGTAACACAAAACTAAATAAGACAGCAATTTGATACATTTCTGCAGTAATACTATGTTGAAATATATATATTTACATATGTGCCAAGCTGAGGGTTAGTAAGGAACACTGCATGAAAGTTTTTGAAAAACTGACATAACTATTAAGAAAAATGTTCTAAAGCAATTGTAAAAAAAAAAAAAAACTCAAAGTCCCCAATAAAGTCTCCATTTGATCACAGTTTAATATTGTTGCTCTCTATAACAAACAATTCCTGTAATTATTATCAAAAAGGCCCATCGGTATGCAAAAATACAACACGTTTTAATAATTTTGACTTGTAACTAAACATATTGATGCAAAGAAAAGGAACGGCAAATGATGCAAATAACGTTTTTATGTTTATATGTTATGAAAATAACACCACAGGCTGAATGGAAGTGTAATCTGTTGGGGGCTATGCCACTGGGACTGCTGTGTTATGACAGCTTTCACAGGATGCGATTTAGCCAAGACTCCCATGTTCTCTGTTCCGTATGTCGCTTCAGTTTGATGAGACTTTCCATCTTAATAATGAAACACCCAGCCCCTGGACTCAATCACACACCATAGCTCTCTCTCTCTCTCTTTCTCTCTCACACACAGTAAAAAAGCCACTTTGCATTGGCAAAGCATTTGTGACCCTGGACCACAAAATCAGTCTTAAGTCGCTGGGGTATATTTGTAGCAATATCCAAAAATACATTGTATGGCTCAAAATGATTGATTTTGCCAAAAATCATTAGGACATTAAGTAAAGATCATGTTCCATGAAGATATTTTGTAAATTTACTACTGTAAATATATCAAAACTTATTAACAATGCATATTACTTGATTAGTAATATGCATTGCTAAGAACTTCATTTGGACAACTTTAAAGGCGATTTTCTCAATATTTAGATTTTTTTACACTCTCATATTCCAGATTTTCAAATAGTTGTATCTCGGCCAAATATTGTCCTATCATGACAAACCATGCATCAATGGAAAACTTATTTATGCAGCTTTGAGATGGTTTATAAATCTCAATTTAAAAAAATTGACCCTTATGACTGGTTTTGTGGTCCAGGTTCACATTTGTAAATAAATAAATAATTAAATTCAAATGATTATTATTTATTAACAACAACAACAGCAGCAGCAGCAACAGCAACAACAACAACAACAACAACAACAACAACAAACATCTAAAAGCAGTGTTGTCTGTGGGTCTTTCATCATTTTAGAGGCGGTGGCGCCCTCTAGCGGTCGAATAATGAACCAGTTGATGATGACAAAATGGTGCGCCGGAAAACCTCTTTCTCGTGTCGTGACTTCAGCAGCTTGACAGCTCAGTCGGATTTTTGTTCAATGTTTGTTTCTCTGTATTAACGGAGCGTTTTTAACATAATGAGCTGAGAGCACGTTTGTCATTTTCTGTAGGCTATATAAATTCCATACTGCATTCTACACCATGCCTTTCTTCGTAGATTCAGTGATTATGTTCACTTCTCAGGTAAGTCTCATCTCTCTTTAATAATAATAATAAATGCATATTCGCTGTATCATTTTAGAGGCGGTGGCGCCCTCTAGCGGTCGAATAATGAACCAGTTGATGATGACAAAATGGTGCGCCGGAAAACCTCTTTCTCGTGTCGTGACTTCAGCAGCTTGACAGCTCAGTCGGATTTTTGTTCTGTTCAATGTTTGTTTCTCTGTATTAACGGAGCGTTTTTAACATAATGAGCTGAGAGCACGTTTGTCATTTTCTGTAGGCTATATAAATTCCATACTGCATTCTACACCATGCCTCTCTTCGTAGATTCAGTGATTATGTTCACTTCTCAGGTAAGTCTCATCTCTCTTTAATAATAATAATAAATGCATATTCGCTGTGTGTACATTAATGAGGAAAAAAATAACTTAAATGATTTTAGCAAATGGCTGCAATATAACAAAGAGTGAAAAATTTAAGGGGGTCTGAATACTTTCCGTACCCACTGTATATGTATAGGTATATATATATATATATATAACAAAAAACAATTGATTAGAGCTCAGTGGGAGTGGATCTTCTCCACATGAATATTTCAAAATCTTGTGTCCACCAATCTGAAGGTGTTTTAAAGGTGATTGGTTTATGTTTTGTTTGTGAATATTGCAACACATTTATACACTCACTAACATGATTTTGTGTCCACAGGTGCTGTTTTTTGGGTTTGGGTGGCTGTTTTTCATGAGGCAGTTGTTTAAAGATTATGAGGTATTGTGCATAAGAGTGTAGATTTAGACCAGTTTTGTTGACTCTGGCCTTTCAGTATTTATCATACAGGTCTGTCTCAATTCCTCCTCAGGTTCGACAGTATGTTGTGCAGGTGGTCTTTTCCGTCACCTTTGCCTTTTCTTGCACTATGTTTGAGCTCATTATCTTTGAGATCCTCGGTGTATTAAACAGCACGTAAGTATTCTTGATTTACAAATATCGGATGATGAGAACTGTAGATCAGATGCTCACATGCTGTTTGTTTCTAAACAGGTCCAGATATTTCCATTGGAAGCTGAATTTGTATGTTATATTACTAGTTCTAATATTTGTGGTGCCTTTCTACATTGGCTACTTTGTGGTCAGTAATATACGATTATGTAAGTAGATTCTGTTCTCTCTGTGTATTCTGTAGCTTTTCCATTTGTTTGTCAAAAGGAATAGTTCACCCAAAAATGGAAATTTGATGAAAATTGACTCACCTTCAGACCACCCAAGATGTAAATGAGTTTTATTATTATTTTTTTTGTCATTTGAACAGTCTTGAAGAAATTTAGCATTATCACTTGCTCACAAATGGAGCCTCTGCAGTGAATAGGTGCCGTCAGATTGAGTACATTTTCAACACATTTTTATTTTTGGGTGAATTTTTCCTTTAAATTTGTTTATGCTCCCTACTTTTGATGCTCTTTTATAGTGCAGAGGCAAAGGTTGCTTTTTTCATGCGTGGTCTGGTTCACATTCATGTATTTCTTCTGGAAACTGGGCGATCCTTTCCCTATACTTAGTCCAAAACATGGTAGGCACTGTCAACATGAAACTTTTCTATCTATGTATTTATGAATGTAACATAATATTTAACAAAAAAAAAATAACAACAACAAATAATTGACTGGTGTATGAAAATTAGTAGATTTTTGAGAACAATCAGTTGTTATATTTGGAATAATGTGCACCAATGATTCAAGCACATTAAGACAAGAAATGTACATTAAGAAAGTAAACATATTAAAATAATAATAATAATAGGCCTAATTGTCTTGCAGCCTGATATGTAGTTGTGTATCTTTTTTCTTGTATTCTCAGGCATTCTGTCCATAGAGCAGCTGATCAGTCGTGTGGGGGTCATTGGGGTCACATTGATGGCTCTGCTGTCTGGCTTTGGTGCTGTGAACTGTCCTTATACATACATGTCATATTTCCTGAGGTATCTGTGCTCTTAGACACATAAAATAACAGAGAAGAACGTGTTGTATTGTGTTTATATTTTATATGTAAGATACTAGATGTTTGTTTGGTTTATTTGCTCAGAAATGTGACTGACAGCGATATCCTGGCCCTGGAGAGAAGACTTCTCCAGACTATGGACATGATTGTCAGTAAAAAGAAAAGGTAAGCAGTATAAAGCGAGGGATCCAATCAGAAAGGGGAAACATATTCACAAAATCACAGGATTTCGGTCTATTTATTTATTTACACAAAGACTCAAAATGCTTGCTGTTTTTTTAAATAATGTACTATTAATTAGCTTCAACATAATTTTTGTTCTTTAAAGAGATATATACAATATATATATTTACATATAAAATAAAATAAAATATTTACAGAAATAAATAATTCTATATATAAACATTACTGTTCAAAAGTTATTATTATTATTATTTTATTTTGGTAAGTAGTCTCTTTTGTTCACCAAGGCTGTGTTTGTTTGATCATGAAAAATACAGTAAACACAATACTACTGTGAAATATTATTACAATGTCAAATAACTGTTTTCTCTATTAATATATATATAAAAAATATGTATTCCTGTGTTTGTAAAGCTGATTTTTCAGCAGCTATTAAATCC